AAAGTAACAAAATATTTGTTACCGCCCATTGATTCAATTTCCATTGGGCCACAAACATCAGAATATACTAAATCAAGTATATTCAATTTTCTTTCAGACGGTGTCTGAAATGAGACTCTATGCTGCTTACCAAATAAACAGTAGTCACAAAGTTTTACTTTTGTACCTTTGGCATAAGAAATGAGTGATTTCTTGGCAAGAATCTGCAATCCCTTCTCGCTCATATGACCCATTCTTTTGTGCCGCGTTCAATTCACCTTGGCATATTTCTGCATTTGGCATGTACAACGTGCCACGAGCAACTCCCTTTGCAATCACCAATGATCCCTTAGTGAGTATCCACTTTTAATTTGCAAAATAGTTCTCGTATCCATCTCGGTCTAAAGTNNAAGTTCATCCGCAAATCAGGTACATGCCGCACATCCTTTAGAACCAATGTGCATCCGACATTTGTCTTGATACAAATGTCACTAATCCCCGCAATCTTTGAGTAAATTGTGTTACCCATTCTTACTATGCCGAAATCACCTGCTACATATATGCAAAAATGATCTCTTACCGGTGTGGCATGGTAAGATGTCGCTGTGTCAACCACCCATTCTGACTCTGAACCTAACAGGTGCATGCATTCTTCTTCCTCATTTATAAAGAGGACAACATTATCATTGTTTTGCACCATGGCGGTTGTGTTGTCGTCATTCTTTTGGCCACTGGTTTCACCTTTGCCATTCCTTGGATTTGGGCAATCTCTTTTGAAGTGACCTAGTTGATCACAGTTGTAGCGAATTCTGGCTCTTGATTTGGATCGTTTCTTTGACTTCCCACGAGCTCCGGATCTACCATAGTTTCTTGAACTTCTTTGATAACTCCTGCCTCTACCTTCTGTGATGAGAGCCTGCCCTTGATTTTCAGGCTTCTTTCTCATCTTCTCATTGAGTAGAAGAGCCGATGTGACATCTTTCAACTCAATAGTAGTCTTACCGTGCAGGATGGTTGTTGCCAAATTATCGTACGAAGATGGCAACGAGTTCAATAGCAAGATGACTTTATCTTCTTCCTCGATTTTTACTCCGAGGTTGGCAAGCTGTGTGATTAGACCGTTAAACACATTTAAATGTGACAAAAAATCCGTACCTTCACCCATGTGTAGGGCGTATAACTGCTTCTTCAGGTACAATTTATTTGTCAATGTTTTGGACATGTATAGGCTTTCCAACCTTGTCCAAATTCCACATTCAGTGTCTTCATCAATGATGTTATTTACCACATCATCTGATAAGTTCAACCTGATTGCACTAGCAGCTCTTTCATCCAAGTCAGCCCAATCCTCAGCTTTCATGGTATCAGGCCTTTTGGAATCAGCATCTAGTACCTTGTGTAATCCTTATTGGATGAGCAGATCCCTCATCCTTCTTTGTCATGTTGAGAAACCGTTATCTCCGTTGAATTTTGGTACCTCGTACTTTACTCCGGACATTTTTATTTTTCACCGAGTATAGTACTACCGACAGTGAATAGTATTTCTATGAACGAGCAGAACCTGCGCTCTGATACCAGTTGTAGGAAATAAATCCCCACAGAAATAATATTTACGGTAATAAAAGCGGAATAATAATGTAGCACCGAGATACGGTAATTAACAAGAATAAAAGAGTAAAATCGATACCAAGATTTTTACGTGGAAAAACCCTTTTAATAAGGGAAAAAATCACGGCCCCGAGAGGAGTAACTGATATCACTATAGTAAGGAATTTTACACTTTGTAGGTTCGAGTAAAATACTCCAAAGACCACTACAACACTCAAAAGAAATAACTCTCTTTTGATATTCCCATCTCACTACAATATCATTCACTCTCTATTTTTCTCACAGACTATTTTCTTATACCCTATCTGTGAAACCTCACTCTTTCTTTCTCTCTTTGTTGGTGTATAAAATGAGAGCTGAAGCTCTCCTTTTATAGGCGGAATCTTACTCTCTCACGCCTACTGTTTTTTGACATTTTTCTCTTCTGCAGATTTGGTATGCCTACCAATCTTGACTTTTGAAATCTTATAAATTTCACTCAACAAAAATTAGATTTGGTATCATTATTGCTTTTCCTTTTTTTTTCTTATATATTATTTAATGGGGATGGACTCCACAAGATGGTGATTGTGGTGGTGATAGAAATTTTGTGTTTTTTTCTGTCATGGAGGGTAAAGATGGAGAAGATAATTGAGGCAAACACATAAGATGGAGAAAATTGGAGGAGGTGGTGGGGTCCACATTGATTTTAGGGAAAAAAAAATAAACCTAATTTTCAAGATATTCACGCGCTTAGATGAAAGTGTAACACATAAAATTTGCCATGTCAACGGAAGGAGTTTAAGAGAATATACTTCTATCAAACAGAGGTGTCTATCTCGTCATAAGGCAAGTCAATACACTAAATTTTGGTTGAATATTAAGAAGCAATTGAAAGTCAAATATGTATGCTGGCTTCTTTCCTTTTATTAATATTTTTTCAACTTTAACCAAATTGTCTAAACCCCTACAAAATCTTTTCAAATCCCATAATGACCTTCTCCATCAAATAGAAATGGCTCATGGCTCCACAGAAAAGTTGTCTTCGTATGATCTATAAGTTTCGTGTTCGAGTTTTGGAACCATCCACTAATACTTGCATTAGGATAGATTATTTTACATCACACCTTTTTGGAGTCCGGTCCTTCCCTGAATCCTGCATGAACGTGGGATTGTGCATCGGGTGGCCCTTGCGGCTCCATCACACATTCAATCCTTTTCTTGTACCGTTTTTTCAATATTTTTACAATAGTGGTATCCGGACTAGTTTATACACACCTCAACTAATTCTACTGACTACTTGTTACCTCGCACCACCGGCAAAACCATTTGTTTTGCAAATATTAAATCTTCTTTGTTTGCTTTGCTCTTGAATGGTCCATGCACCTTTTTCTTTCTTCATTTTTTGCATTTTATACAATACCATTGGTTTAAGTATTTCCTAAAGTTTTTATTACACAATATGAAGTTGAATAGTAGCTAGTGATCTTGGTAAACTAATTGTCAAATTTCAAGTTATAGCAGATCATGTGGTCCAAGTCCAACTTTAATTTGGCTTTGCATTTCTTGGCATAGAGAATTATAATGTTCAAACTCAAAGCTTGAATGATACTCCCTCCAGCTCATTTTATTTAGCCATGTAGGACACCACCAAGGGTTGTTATGTAATGGATAGGATCCCTCCATTCTTGTCAGAGGTCTCGAGTTTGAGTCCTTAAAATGATAAAATTATGATAGGGAGCACTAGTTCCCTCTTTCACGGGCCTTACGTAACACGAATTAAAACTAGTTGGAGTCTCCATGTGGTACCAGACACTGGGAGAAACAAAAAAAAAATACCATGTCGAACTGGAAGCAATTTTTCATCTCAAATTAAGCTTAAATAGCATCAGGATCGGAGTTAGAAGCATGAATACAAATTTGGCGGAACCCATTAACTTTTGCACAAACAATATACTTGTATTAAAAAATCAATAAATATGTACAAATATTAAATTTTGAACTCAATTATTAACATTTGAAATCGTCGTTCTAAAATTTAAAACTCATAATGTTAAAATCCTGCCTCCGAATAGCATATGCTACGATAGAACCATTGACTTCCTCATGATAACACGTGCCGCATGAATTGGGATGACTATTCCCCAACTCTCTCATAACTTATTCTGAAACTCTACTGTCTATTTTAAACTATTTTTTCGTTTTATTGGAATATATTTTCCTCTTTTATTTTCAATGGAAAGCACAAATTCATTAAATATTATGTAGAAACCCAAAGTCAACGTATGCTGGCTTCTTTCATAAATCAAGATTCACGAACAATCCAGGCGTTAGGTCTTGCATTTTTTTTCCTTTTTTTTTTTTATACTTCAGAGAAAATAATATAATTATAGTGCATATAATATATTGCACACCTAAAATGTTGCAATTATAATGATTATTAGTTGACTGATAAAGATTAACGATTTATCAACGCGCATGTGAAGACCTTTTCTTTTTTAAATTAAAAAGTACAGTCTAGTGCACAAAATATTCCTCGTTTATGCAGGTATTTTTTTTTTTAAAAAAAAAAGATAGTCTGGTGTACAAAATATTTCTAGTTTACGCGGCAGGGAAGGACCTTTTCTTTTAATTTTTTTCTTGTTCAGTTGTCATGATTTATGAATCTGTCTATGTCATGGATAACGACCACTTTAAATTTAAATAATTAATGGGAAGAAAAATATATACAAATTAATGGCAGCACCTGATAGCTGGATCTAGTTATGTTTTGATGCAAGATTTGGAAACAACTGCCTGTGAATCAACAAATTAATAGTTTGATCAAATCTAGACATCTAGGGTGTGTATGGTATGAAGGAAAATATTTTTCGGAAAATGTTTTCCAATTTTTCTATGTTTGATTGGCTTAAATGTTTTGGAAAATATTTTTCTCGTGAACTTATCAAGAGAAAGGAAAACATTTTCTAAAACTACTTCTCAACCTTCCACTTACCAACCAAACAAGGGAAAATAAGTGATGAAATCACTCATTTTCGACGGAAACATTTTCGCGGAAAATATTTTCCTTCGTAGCAAACACACCCCTAGTTCACAAAAGAAAGAACAAGGCAACAAATTATTAATCTACTCAAGATGTGCACAAGAAGCTCTAGGAGAGGTTCTCAAGCTTCCTTTTATCAACAAGAGTTGTGCTGGACTAAGTATTTTTTAAAGATATTTTTTTATCTTTAACCAGAGGTTATCGACAAGAGTTGTGGTGGAGTAAGTATTCGTTCATCTTTAACTAGAAGTCTCAACTTCAAACTTTAGTTATGGAGTCACTTTTGTTAGGAAACACTTTACCTCCAATGTTGGACTTTCCAGCACGAATCCATATTTTTTAGGTCCCAAGACATATACTGAATACCGAGTCGAAAACCAAAAAAGAAAGGTTTTCAAATTACTTAATATATTACTATTAGAAATTACATGTAATGACATTCAAAATTAAGGCACCCAACTCTTATTAACAAGGTTAGATGATTCAATTCTTTGACATCCTCACAGGAAGCACATTGAGTATGAACAAGATTTGACTACAGCTCAATACAATACACTAAATGAAAAGAAGGGGGAAAAAAAAAGCAACCAAGCAAATTGAACTGGCTGCTCCCTCTAAGGTCCCTCAGCTATCCCAATATCTGTTACGATTTATCGGCCTTCCCATTGCTCTTAACACCAGTAACAATCGCTACAAGTTCGTCTCTCTTCCCATTAATCCTGGCCTCCGCGATAACAGGAATGGTTTCGCTTTCCCTCCCATTGCTCTTCTCAGAAACTTGATAGTTTCTTTCTCTACAGTTTTTTGAGATGCCCCTCCTTGCCACAAATATAGCACTGCCCGTTAATCTTAGCTTCTGTAACAGGAATGGTTTCGCTTTCCTTCCCGTTGCTATTCTCAAGGACTTGATAGTTTCTTTCTGTACAATATTTTGAGATGTGCCCCTCCTTGCCACAATTATAGCACTGCCCGTTAATCTTAGCTTCTGTGACAACAGGAATGGTTTCGCTTTCCCTCCCGTTGCTCTTCTCACAGCCTTGATAGTTTCTTTCTGTACAATATTTTGAGATGTGCCCCTCCTTCCCACAATTATAGCACTGCTTCTTTGACAGGTCCTTTTTCCGTGCTCCAACTCTCTTCTCATGTTTATCATTTCTGTAGCGATTGCGACAATCGTCTTCCACTCTTAGATGATGCATTAACATGTCGAGAGACGGAACATTTTCATGCATCAACCTTGTACGACAGTCCTTCCAAGAGGGGGGAAGTTTTGCTATAATAGCACTAATATGGAAGTTCTCGTCTATCCAGATTCCTGATGCCATGAGAGAATCAGCAATCTTGTGAAGCTCTTGAACCTGCTCAAGAATCGATATGCCATCAACCATTAGGAACTGCAAATATTTGTTAACTTCGGAACTCTTCGTTCCAAAATCCTCATCATAAGTTGATCTAAGCTCTTCCCACAGTTCTTTGGCACTGTAGTTCTTCTTTGAGTATTCTTCAAACAGTTTGTCGGATAGAGAGTTTAATATGTTATGACAACAAAGGTAGTCATCATCAACCCATTTCTGTCGGTTTTCAAGAGTGTTCGGGCAAGGCTCACTGAGCACATATGCAATATTCAATTGCTTTAGGAAAAATTCTGCCTGATGTTTCCAGCAATAATAATTTTTTCCATCAAGACGAATAGTCTTAACAGGAACAAGGCTGTGGGCAAGAGAAGTTGTTCGAGAACTCTGTTGTATTTGTCCCTGAGGTGCGAAGCAAGGGGCGGAATTAGAAATACCAGCTTCTGTTTGTTGTCTCTCAATAGGCATCTGCACCTGAGAGTTAGTAATTATTGCTGAATTAGAGACATCATCTCCATTTTCGTTTCTGTCGGCAGAAAGCTTCCCCTCTTGATGGTTAACTGACTGGGAAATATTGGTCTGAATTTGTTCTCTTCCTTGAGCAGCCACGTCTGCTGCAGTCTGATTTTCACAAGTTGTCGATCTAGAAATGATAAATTGGATCATTCACGCAAATCAAATAAGACTAACCAAAAAATATTTTATGTTTATGAGTTCAGTTGTCTTTCAGTATAAATTGAAATGGATTTCGGTGTTTATTTCAGTTGGCTACCAGGATTCTCACCTTATTTTCAACTCCATCGTTGCAATGGCTTCCACAATAGCTGGGAAGCTACTCCTGAATGATGACCATTGTTGAACACTCAAATTAATTCCTGATTTCATATATAGGTTTGTAATTGTCAATTCTTATGAAAAGAGTGTAACACATAAGAAGAGAAATAAAGGAAAAATTAAAACAATATCTATGCGTTTCACTTGACCATCGAACAATTTAATGCAGTGAGAAAGCAAAGAAAAGACAATATTCACTGAAAAGCCTTTTCAGAATGATAAAGAAATCGACCTTGGGCCTAACTCAACCCCAAAAGTTAGCTCAAGAGATGAGGATTGCCCAAGATCATATATNCCCCAACCCCACGAGCGTGAACAATATAAGATGAGGGCCCAACATCGGGTGAAACAAGAATTGGATAGGCGGGGTTCTGATGCCATAAAATCAAATGGAAGAAGTTGTATTTCACTATCTCTGAAGTATATGTATTTATACAATTACTACAGGCCCTATCTAAAGTAAGTAAATATCCTACACATCTCTCCTATGATTTAGCTAGCTATATAAGGTTAGAGAATATGTTTACAATATTCTTACAATATTATGTAACACAAAATAACACTGACACAAGGATGCCTCAATAAAAGATTCTTTGCTTTAGACGGATTTGGAAGCACAAGTCTGATGGTGACTTAATAGGGGAGAGGCGGAGGAGGGTTCACTCATAAGGTAGGAAAATTAATGACGTTCAACTCTTGAGAAGCCCAGAAGAACGAGAAATTGGAGACCTCTTTGGTTTCTCCTGCTTTTCCACAATAGAGTTGAAAAGAAAATGGACCTTAAGAAGACAACAACCCATTTGTTCAACCAATGTGAGACATTCTAACACCCGCCTCTCCACGCACACGGAAGACTGGATATTTGTAGCATAGACAATACAACATGGGGGCCCAACATTGGATCAACAAGGAATAAGGATGGATTTGTCTCGGATACCATGTAAAGAAAATGAACCTTTACATGAGGCGAGAATTCTCCAAGATCATACAAGGAGGCAACTGCTCGCTCACTCCATCAATGCGAGACATACATTCTAACAGTGAAGTGCATCATGTTACACTTAGACACAACTACAAGAACAATGGCTCTGTTGAATACACAATTGAACTAAGTACGAAAGTATGGAAGATTTTAGATGATTCGGGCGACTTAAAAATGGTTTCCCAGTGAAAATGGTTGTTAATTTACACAACACATATATTGCTAACAGGTCAAAAAGCGCTACGGAAACATGCTTGCCCAGACTTCATCCAAAATAAATGGTCCTATTTACTCCCACCTTATCCCCCCCCCCCCC